TTTCATGTACCTCCTGACAGTTTTGGGAAACATGTCCATCATAATTCTAGTAATAACACAACGGCGTCTCCATTCTCCCATGTACTTCTTCCTTTGCAATCTCTCTTTCCTAGAGATATGGTACACCACTGTGATCATTCCTAAGACCCTTGGAATCATTATGGGGAGTAGCAGAAGCATCTCTTTAGCTGGCTGCAATCTACAGATGTACTTAGTTTTTGCCTTTGGGTGCACAGAGTATTTCCTGCTTGCTGTCATGGCCTACGACCGATATTTGGCTATATGTTTCCCATTGCACTATAGCACCATCATGGACAGTAGCCTTTCTGGCAAGCTAGCAGTTGCCTCTTGGCTGTGTGGATTCCTTGTTATTTGTATACCAGCAATTATGATTTCAAGGTTATCCTTTTGTGGGACCAATGTGATTAATCATTTCTTGTGCAACATTGATTCATGGATAATTCTCTCCTGCACAGACACCTATGCCATTGAATTGGCAGCTTTTATTATTTCCATCTTTGTAATCTTGGGCTCCTGTTTTATAACCCTTCTTTCCTACATATACATTATATCTACCATTCTACAAATGGCTTCTGCCAAAGGACAACAGAAGGCCTTTTCTACATGCTCTTCCCATCTCGCTGTTGTAGTTATTTGGTATGGATCCACCATCTTTCTTTTTGTTAAGCCATCTAAGCGGACATCTTTAGAAATTACCAAAGTAGTGACCATCCTGAATACAATTGTGACACCAGTGCTGAATCCTTTCATTTATACCTTAAGAAACAAAGAGGTTAAGGAGGCTGTGAAAAATCTGTTGCACAGGGAATGAAAGAAGAATGTGCTGTTATATGCTCTGCAAGAGGACAGGATGTGATTTAAAAATCTCTAGAAAGCGTGTGGCTTTAGGCTTGGAGATGCACATTTTAATAAGGACTGGAAGTGTTTTGAAAGAATTTTCACTTCAAACACATGCAGAACTGTACAGACAAATGTGAAGATCAGTGTTGGATGGGAGATTAATATTAATTATTATTTATTATTGTTCTTTATTATTGTTATGGAAATTTGCTGCAGAAAGATGAATGATTCAGGCTAATAAAGATGAAATTAAAATGAATATGAACAGTAATAAAGAAAGCAACTGAGTTTTAGCAAATCTTTGTCATTCTTTCAATAACCTTACAATATGAAGAATTAAAAAGATTATCAATCTGCTGTGGTTTAGCAGTGTTAGACTAAGAGTCGAGACACCGATAGTGAAATATTCCACAGCCTCTCAGGCAAGTCGGCACTCAGCTCATCATTGTATGGATTTTTTGGTTGTTGTTATTTCCATAACAGCTTCTTTCATCACAAGACTGTCCTTCCTTCTGTGGGCCAAATGTGATTAACCAGTTCTACTGTAGCATTGGTTCCTGGATGGTCCTCTCTTGTACTGATGCTACCTCTGTCAGTAAGGCAAGTGTGAGGACTAGATGTAGAAGATCTACCTCTATATCTCAGTGTGTACAGTAGAGAGCTAGAAGAAAAGCCAAGAAGAGTAAGTAGTGTTAGTGGGAAGAAGTTCAGCTTCTGTCATGTACTGCAGCCATGGAAACCATGTGCGTACAAACCTAGAGTAGGTCATGGTGGTGCCCGATCGTTGTCTTTGAAATGAGTCAGAGATTCTGCACATAATAAACTGATCCCATACCTTATGTCTCCATATGGTCAGTGTCGGAGGAGAGGCAGAGTTCCAGGTAGTAGCTATGGCCAGGCAGGCCGCTGCCAGCAAAATAAAAGTAAATTCATTGTAGCTGTATTGTGAATCAGGTGTTTCTTGAATTTGAAGTAGGATAACTGGAATGATAGGGTACCTACAACCCACTTCAGTCAACATCCTAGCTGGAGCATTCTACACCAACTGAAAGTTCCTAGCACTTCTAAAAAGTAGCCCCACACAGAATACATTGGAGCAATCTAATCTCAATTAATCCTAGGCATGAACCACAATGGCCAGATCCTCTCTGCCCAGGAAAGGCCACAGCTGATGAACCAGTCAAAGCTAGTAAAAGGCACTCCTGGACACACTGCTGCGTGCTTATCCAGCAGTATGTCTGGGTCCCAGAGCATCCCCAAACCACAGACATATTCCTTCAAGAGAAGGCCAACCTTTTCCAGAATGGGTGACTCTTTAAATCCCAGGTAAGACCACCTGCTCACCAATAGCACTTTTGCCATGTTGGAATAAAGCTTGATTAGTCTGCATCTTCTCTAAATAGTAAATTGAGTCTAAAAAGAAAACTATATTACCCATAAACAGACTCATTTTAAAAATATTGATTGATTGGCTGCCTCCAGGAGAATTGATTCCACAGCAACCACTCTGATTTGCAGATGTCTCCATCTGCAGACATCACTGATGCTTGCCATGACATGCATTTTTTTCCAACTTGAAATTCTTGGCTTCATTATTCATTGGGCATCATTTTGTTCATGGTGTTTCTTCTATATTTTGTAGCACTAAAATACAATTTTGTGAGGATCAATTTTGATTTCTCTTTTTCTTTACTTCCTGTGCACTAATCACAGCTCAGAGAGAGGTGGAGGAAAACTCCTCAAGAGTGATCCCCTCCATTAAAATTCTCCAGGGAAATGTACGGTCCCTGGGCAAGTCTCCATGGATTGCTCTAGGAATCTCTTCAGATCTGACAACCAGGAAACTGAAATCTCTTCAGTGAGTCTTTAGCCAAATCTGCATCTAGCATTTGCTCTGCTGTTACCAAACCCACACTGGAACATAAATTCCCATCTGCATTGAATGCCACTTTCACTTTGATTGAGTGTTGAATTTTATGGCAGCGTCCAGACTGCATGCTGCTTTCACTTCATTTGATCTCTGGTTTTATGTTGGCTGTCTGCATAGATTTATGGCCCTTTTATGGCCATTCAGGGGTGACTCTGCAGTCAGTAGGTGAACGTGGTTTTAAGCTGCATCTTTTTCTGTTCCAATGTGGGTTTGGTTATGACAACAGAGCAAATGCTAGATGCAGATTGGGCCTTAGGGTTGTGATTATATATGCATCTCAAACTGTACACCGGGGGTTTCTTTCTTTTATTTCAGACTAGGGCCCAGATTTTCAGAGCAGTAAGCCTTTAATCTTGACTGCAGATTCTGTGCCCGCCTTATGCACCATTCTTTTTCCTCCAGTGTGGGGTGGTGGTGTGCAAAGATTTTTTTTTTAAAAAAAAATATATGCAATTGCCCTAGTGCAGCTGTGCAGTAGCATCCAGCAAGCACCTTCCATTTTAAGTTTTGTGCATGCATTTTAGTGTTAGATCCTTGAATGAAAGGTAACAGAAGAGAATGCAGATAAAGGGGGGGGACCCAGTTTGGTGTAGTACTTAAGTGTGTGGACTCTAATCTCGGAGAACGGGGTTTGATTCCCCACTCCTCCACTTGCAGCTGCTGGATGACCTTGGGCAAGCCATAGTTCTGACAAGAGCTGTCTTTGAAAGGGCAGTTCTTGAAAGAGCTCTTTCAGTTTCACCCACCTCACAAGATGTCTGTTGTGGGGGGAGGGAAAGGAGTTTGTAAATCACTCTGAGACTCTGATCTTCTGTCATTTTGCTGCCCCTCTGAGGTCACTCCCCACTCACATTGAGGTCATTCCACTCACTCTGCACCTTCCACCAGCCTCCCCCCTTTATCAGTGTACAAGCTACATTTCCCCCTCATTTTTATCATTTTTTTAAACTAGGGGTGTGAGTCTAGAGATAGGTTTGATTCCCCACTGGTATTGAATTACTGTTTTGCTTGGAAGCAAAACAAGGGGAAATCGGCACAGAAGCACTCTCAGAAAATGCAGGGAAACAACAGCCATAAAGCAAATTGAGCGCTGAAGGGAGGAAAATGAATGCAGAATGACAAAGAAAATCTGACATACATCCATGGTGAAAGCAAGGGAAAATAACAACAAGAACAACAACAACAACAACAACAACAACAACAACAACAACAACAACATAATAATAATAATAACAACAACAACAACAACAACACTTTCCATTTATTAATCGCTTTCCCCAGTGGGCTCAAAGCGATGTACAGTTACTCAATATAGACAAGGGACTAACAATGTTTGTACGGGATAGGGAAGACAACATATATAAATTTTTAATTGCATGTGATGTAACTGTCCGGTGTAGACATCTTTCTGGCTGGCTGTGTCATTTTCCTGCACGGCTGCTTGCTGGCCAGGACCCGTATGTCAATCGCCACACTGCCACCGCCTGGGCAGAACATCCATTGCAGGATGTTCGTAGCCGGGAAGCTGTATCGCCTTACAAGCCTTGACCAGGACGTCCGACCGTCAGCTAACGCCCTCCCAGAAGGGAGATTGGCGTGCCCACCCTCGCTAAGGAGTGGTTCCCATTTTATCTACTTGCCAAAGCTTTCGAATCACTGGGTGGACGATGAGCTGGGGACAACAGGCTGGCTGCTCACACCAGCACAGGGCTTGACCTAACACAGTTCAGATGTTAAGACAGTGGGATATATCCACTGTGCTACCACCCATGGGTAATAGTTCTAGGTGAATTGTAACAAGGCAGCCAATCAATAATACTGAAGGGAGGAAAATGAATGCAGAATGAAAAGAAAATTCGACAGACATCCATGGTGAAAGCAAGGGAAAATACCCATGGGTAATAGTTCTAGGTGATTTGTAACAAGGCAGCCAATCAATAATACTTCAAAACCCAAGTAAGAGTAAAGATGTGAAATATCAGATGGAAAACTGAGCAGATTCAATCAGAGTAGTAGTGCCTGCACACTCTTCATAAGGAATGGATGAAAATATGGCTGTATTTCACTGGCTTAGATCAAACCAGCTTTTCACTCATGAAAAAGGAAAAGCCCCCCCCAAAAAAAAACAACAAAAAGGCGATGCTGGGGGTCATTGGGCTAGCATGTACAAAATCCTTATGGGATGTGGATTGGATGGAAAATGGTGATGTTGAGTAGATCAGGGAAACTGGTGAGGTTGAGTGGAAATGCTGTCTGGATCAAGCCCATTATTTCCCACAAACCTGTTTTGAACAATAGCAATTGATCTGCACAATTTATTCCTTAATCTAGAATAGGGATGGGCATGAATTGCAGTTTTGTGGTTCACTTCAGTTCATGAACCACAAACTGAAATGAGCTGGAGGCTCCTAGGCAAACCAAACTGGTTCATGGCTTGTGGCCTCTGCAAGCCCCATTCAACGGGACCACAGTCCCTTTCAATGGGATTTGCAGAAAGCCAAAAAACCAGTTGAGCAGGCTGCTCCCTGCCACTCAGCTGTTTTTTTGTAGGAAGCAGAAAGCAGGGGGTTAAAGGGACTGAGTGGGGATCATGGGACCTACATGGGGCTAGTTACCATGAGTGAATCTCATCTAAGGACTGCAACATTGGCAAGTCCTTAGTGTGAGTGTGGCAATAGTATACGGCATAAAGCTACAGTGGGTTTCACACTGAAAGAATTCCAGTCATCTATCCCAAGCCATGTTTCCCTAAGTATGTTGCATTAGGCCAAATATTTCCTAGCAGAAGCAGGGAAATTCATTTAGATTTGGCTATGGATCCTGAAGAAACTGCAGCCTCAAGTGCAAAAGTCACTGTCTGTCGAAAACTGACTTGCACAAATAAAAAATTTTTTGGGGGGGAAGGGGAGAAGCTTAGTGAGCTCTAATGGGAAAGGAAAACAGGAACATCTTACTCCATAAAGGATGCATGTGCTTGGATAAGCACCATTATTTCATTAATCTTGAGACATTCAAGGCTTTCAGGAACTGAGGGGTGTAAGATGGTGACAGACATTGTCCTTCAGGCATTGTCCTTCAGTTGTTTTGTAGATTTGGCTTTATCTGCACTATTTAAGAAATCTAATCTGGTTGTATTTGGTCTAATTGGATCTGAACCATCAGGTTTTGGACTCCTTTGTACTCTCCAGTTACAAGCTGGATATTTTTAGCTTCTGGACAATACAGCAGCTGTGCCTTCGAGAGCTGTATATCTCTCACGCCCTCTGAAACACACACAGAACCAAAAGGGGGACCTCTGCAGTCTGGAAATCAGTTTTAATTTCTGGAGATGTCCATGCCCCACCTGGAGGTTGGCAACCCTGGGTTCATTATTTCTGTTTTATCCAGCTCCTGGATGTTAATAACAGTTCACAAAGAGCAATAAATGTGGCTCCAAAGCCAATTAAAAAAATTATCCAGGGGACCATTCAATCCCTGAACATTTCAAAGTTCCTCAGGGAACTATTAGAGGATGGAGCCGCACAGTCTGACCTATTCCATAAAGATGAAATCACAGGGTGTGATGATGTAAATGTTCTTCATTTGACCATCTACATCTCTACTATAAAATATGGAGGAAGCTCTTCTCCTTGAATTTTGCCCAACCCAGAAGAAGTAAAATGTTCAGTTAACACACAGTACTTGAAAATATGGAGAAATATAGAGTACACATGTAAAATACTGGAACCCGACGGCAAATAATCGGTAAGTGGCTTTCTTGCTTTCTTTCTGAGTACCACCTGTAAATGCTTCAAATGTGCAATAAAAAGTTCATCCAGTAAAAGATAGTGTTGTTTTTCTTAAAAAATCTAGTACCATTAAAATAGTACAAATTGAGGGACTTGATGGGGACTTAGTAATTTTATTCAAGCAGTACCTGCTTTATTTTTGACATATTTCATCTCTGTGGGACTGCAACCTTAAAGAAGAAGTATGCGATTTATGACCCACAAAACTGAATGCAGCAAAATGAGATCCTTGATTTTGCTTTCTTTGGCTCAGTCTTGGCCTGAAGTAGCACACCTGAGGGAAATTAGTCCCCATGATAAAAGACATGGTAATGTTTCACAACAGTAGATCTCTTGTTAGTTGGTATGAATTCTTTGAAAATGGCTCTTTCCAAGGAAACATGGGAAGAAGAGATCTGCCCTCTCCCAAGAAGGGATGGGGTAAATATGTTTTGCTGTGTGTGAAGAAAGAGCAGTTTAGACTTTGGAAGAAAGCAGTTTCAGAGGGCTGATGTGCAGTAGAACAGCTAGATTTTAGTCCAGTGGGATCCATCATTAAGGAGGCATCCATCTAGGGGCCAGAAAGAGTTGCAGCTATGGAGAGGAATGTAAGAGAACTACACTGTCCAGGCATAAAATGACAGGATATGGCCAATTGCTGTTTTTAGTATTTATATAACAACATGATGCTTTATGGAATAGAAGATGATGGCTCACTACCTCAGGAGCTTGCAATTTATATTACAACACCAGTGATAAGTGGCAATAGAGGAAAAAAATAACATAGCAAAACATTATCAAGGGGAAATATGCATTTATTCCATTGACCTGCACTTTGCTGTTCTTTCCATGAGGAAGAGACTTTGGGCCAAAGATTCATTGGCAAGAACAGGGAAATTCCTCTTGAGGTAGCCACAGTTGACGGTGTGCCTGCTGCTTCATCTTCGAACATGAATCTCAGTACACAGTCTGGTTTTCAGAATTGGAAAGAGGATGATTCCTTTCTTGAAAAGAGGGTAACAAATTTTGCAAACCTGGAAGGGGGGAAAGTCTATGTGTTAAAGTGGCATTTTGTTTCAGCAGACAGACTTGGACAAATGGAAGAGCTTAATGAAAGAGCACAAAACAAAACAAGAGTGATGGAATTCATCTTCCTTGGCTTCCCTGGGTCTCTCTATGTACAGATGGGGATCTTCATGAGCTTTCTTATCATGTACATCTTGACAGTTTTAGGGAATGTTACCATCATCATTCTAGTGATAACTAACTCTCATCTCCACACACCCATGTACGTCTTCCTTTGCAACCTTTCATTCCTGGAACTATGGTTCACAATGGCCATCATGCCTAAAACCCTTGCTGTCTTCCTTGGAGAGAGCAGAAGCATCTCTTTCACGGGTTGCCTCCTGCAGATGTTCTTCAATTATTCCTTTGGGTGCACAGAATTCTTCATGCTATCTGTTATGGCTTATGACCGATATCTGGCTATTTGTTATCCACTGCACTACAGCACCCTAATGGACATCAAACTCTGCTGCAAGTTAGTTGTTGTTTCTTGGCTATTTGGGTTTCTCGCTATGAGCACACCAACCGTTCTGATCTCAAAGTTGTCCTTCTGTGGACCCAATGTGATTAACCATTTCTACTGCCACATTGATTCCTGGATACTTCTGTCTTGTACTGACACTTATTCTGTTGAAAAGGCAATGTTTGTTGTAGCCATCATTGTCATTTTTGGTTCCTGTTTGATAACGTTTCTTTCCTATGTATACATAATTTCTACAATACTGCGCATTGCTTCTGCCAAAGGTCGTCTAAAGGCCTTTTCAACATGCTCCTCCCATTTGGCTGTTGTGATTATTTGGTATGGCTCTTCCATGATTCTTTATATCAAACCTTCTAAACGATCGTCGGCAGAAATGACCAAAATTGTGAACATCTTGAACACTATTGTGACTCCTTTGTTGAATCCTTTTATCTACTCACTAAGGAACAAAGATGTGAAGAAGGCCTTAAAACATTCATTATATTGGAGTCAAAGAAAAACATTTGTTATGTGACTGGAACGTTTTTAAAAAGCCAAGAAAATCTGGGCAAAGTGTAATTCCTTACACTAGAAGCAAGCATTTTAAAAAAATGAAAATACCGAATTTTCCTTAATGTTTGAACCTATATGCAGTGTATACTAGAAGCAGACTCTGTTGATATAATGCTGTTTGATCTTTGGATTTTAAATTTAAAAAGTATGTATGTACATAAATTTAAAATAAAGTAGTCCAAAGAGAATAAACCTCATAAGAACATAACATAAGAATATAAGAGACGCCAATGTTGGATCAGGCCAAAGGCCCATCCAGTCCAACACTCTGTGTCACACAGTGGCCAGAAATACCAGTGCCATCAGGAGGTCCACCAGTGGGGCCAGGACATTAGAAGCCCTCCCACTGTTGACCCCCCCCCAAGCACCAAGAAGACAGAGCATCACTTGCCCCAGAGCCCCTATCTATACCTTGTGGCTAATAGCCACTGATGTACCTCTGCCCCATAGGCTTATCTAATTCCCTTTTGAAGCCGTCCATGCTTGTAGCCGCCACCACTTCCTGTGGCAGTGAATTCCAAGTGTTAATCACTCTTTGGGTGAAGAAGTACTTCCTTTTATCTGTTCTAACCCGACACATAGGCTTATCTAATTCCCTTTTGAAGCCGTCCATGCTTGTAGCCGCCACCACTTCCTGTGGCAGTGAATTCCATGGGTTAATCACTCTTTGGGTGAAGAAGTATTTCCTTTTATCCGTTCTAACCCGACCACTCTGAAGTTTCATGGCGTGCCCACGAGTTCTTGTATTGTGAGAAAGGGAGAAAAGTACCTCTTTCTCTACCTGCTCTTTTCCATGCATAATCTTAT